CTTGGTAGCGCATTGCGCGGATTGCGAAGTACCGTCGATACATAAATAGTGGCTGACTTGCGCGCCCCGGACAAATCCAGGCGAGAATTTCGCAATTCCGCGCGCGTTATTGGCGCGTCGACGACGCGGAGCAACGACGGGCTGCTCTCTCTTATCTCTTGCTCCGTCGACGGATGTAACTTGGTTTCCGCAAAAATGTTAGGCTCGAGCAACGCATCTCGTTAATTCGCGCGTAAAATTCCCGAGCTTCAAGGCTAATCGTCGAGCAAGATCGATGTAAGCGTACACAAGCGTGAACTTCATTCCGATCTCTCTCTCGCTTGCTCTTCCGAAACCGCTTTCTGGAAATTGCGAAGATAATCCGGATAACCCGTGACCTCCGTCGCGCACAACGAGTCCGACTATCGATCGATCCTCATTTTTATCGTCGTTCGCGCAGCTCTCCGCTACGGCGTTCCGAATACGATAAAAGATCGCACGCGACGCGTATTATGCAAACTTCGGGCCTTTTTCGGGAAACAATCCGAGACTACCGTTCGTCTACTGGTCTTCCACACGACGTTAACCAGCAACACGACGGGTCTATAAATATAATCTGTAAATATGACGACGTATGGGCGATATAAAATTGTCGCGAAGGATCGAACGCCGGCCGGGAGCGACAAAATTCGCACGTGGGGACGTGAATTGGGGTCCGTGAAAAATTCCGAGCCGCTCCAGTGGCTGAAGGATCGCCCGCGCTCGTCGGACATTTCTTTTGTCGAAACGTCGAATGATACTGGCGATGCTCGTGTAGACAATTTCCGGGGCCTGGTGTGATTTTCGAAAACAAAATTCTGGACTTACGGATCGGGAAATCTACGCAGATTCAGGTCGGACGTGCGATGTTTCAAGCGCGCGATTCTAAGCGAGAAACTCAAACAGATATCGATCCCATTTGATATCTCCAACGTTTTTCTCAAGATTTTTCTCCGAATTTTCCGATTTCCGGTTTTACACTAGAATCGAATGGAACATCTGAAACGCTTGGAACATTTACACTTGTTAAATATTTACACTCATAAATATTTATACGTATAAAAAATGTATACACTCAAAGCGCTTTGCATATTTGTTTTCCACGTGGTATATTCTATCGAATTTAATCGAGACCGGAATAATTTATGATAACAATGAGACTCTTGTAATTAATATCACAGTGGGGATCAACTTTGCGACAAATTAGAATCTTCCGGCCGTTATCTGCGTTGCTTGTGGAGGAAATCGTGACAAATTTCCACGCGGGAGAGGTAGCCTTCAATTACTCGGAGCGATCACGAGAAATTTGGCGAGCTGAGTGCCGATGTTCTTAGCGCGATGATATGTGCGGGAATGAGTACATGAAAACAAATTAGTCTTAAATCAATGATATTCTCATACGCATAAGCGAGAATATTATAACTTCTTGGAATATCTTTAATCCTGATTCGATTGAATTTGTATCGACGCAGGTATTATTTGCGCTCGATTCAAGACTAAACATCTTTTAAGAATATTATAATACTTTTGCTTATATAGGGTGTTCCTTAAGTACCCAGCCGTATTCAACATATGTTTACATGAGCTTTTTTCACTTGAAATAAACCAAAGAATCGTCGCCTTGATTATGACTGGTTATGCACTTAAGGAACACTCTGTATATGAGAATATCGTTGATTTAAGACTATTTTTGTCCCGTACAACAGCGTTCTTTAATTATGTATCGCGACCTATGTGCGATACGGCATGCACGTAGCAGCGGCGACGTCGCGCCGTCGTCATTTAATTAAGGTAAGAATAATTTACGATACACGGGAAAAAACCGTCTGCTTGGGCGACACAGAAATCGGGTGGTGCCAAATAGACTTAATGGCAAAATATGGAACAACTAATTATGCAGTTGCTGCAACCACAGTACAATCGTTGAGTGACTCGTGTCGCAGCAGTGACGGCATTTGATTGCCCCAATCAGACATTCTTGATATTCCAACTATGAATGTTTTAACGGCAACTGCACCATTTGGTTGGCTTGAATAAAACTTCTCGCAAATACAAACATAAAATAAGTCGCAACCATCTGCCGGTAACTGCGAAAAAACTGTTTTATTACTGTCAGTCCACAATAAGTATTTTAAGCCTTAAGCCTCGAAAAATTGACCAATCGCAGTCAATTATTCTCTACAGTTATGTGAACCGTATCTTTTGAACCGCGTAGCGATGAGATTTTTCAAGGGAGCTTTGCACCGGGGATAACCTACTTCGCGACAAATTAGGTCCTTCCGGCCGGTGCTTACTTGTGGAGAAAATCGTGAAAAATTTCCACGCGCGGAGAAGAGGGGCACAGCCAGCCTTCAATTACTCGGAACGATCGCGCTCAGGAATCTGGCGCTGCTCTCAACGCGATAATACGCGCGGGGGTGAGTAATAGCGCTCTTTAATTATGTATCGCGACCTACGTGCGTACCGACGTAGCAGCGCGACGACGTCTATTACGGACCGGCATATCGATGGGTTCCCGCGACTTCCACAGCTACCACCGCTATAAGTCACCCCTCCCGCACACGACACGTCATTACTCCGCGGAAACCTCGGCATCTGGCATGTAAAATGTGTTGGTACAAGCGTTTCGCGATTATCACCGACGTAGCTGGCCGGGTATTCCGACAGTCACCGGTTGTAGTACACTCGTAAGCACACTGTGCTGTACAAAGTCAACGACGCGTTTCTCACGCGGATTGGTCGGATCCTTTCTCTCTCTCTCTCTCTCTCTCTCGCTTGCTCTCGAATGCGCTCGCCGGTGCGTTAGTCGCCGCGGAACTTCCGAGTGCTTGCTAACACAGAGACGGGTTTATAACTTCGACCTTATTCGCTCGACAATTCGTCCAATTAGGAAATTTCGCGGACCCTACAGAACGACGACGGCAACGGGTTGCGATGCGCCCGCACTTCTCCGCTCTCCGCTCGGACCTCCTCGAGGGCTTCCCTTGCGTCTGCGAAGAAAGAATGGGGAGAAGTCGAGAGCGAATCTCGACGCGGAAACGGTGATTCGCGTTAGGGAGAGAGGGAGGAGCGTTTAATCGCCCATTCGCCCAGACAAAGATTTTCTTATATGCAAGAATCCTCTTATATTTTAGCTGCATATTGATGAAAATATTATTTACACGTCTGTGAAGTTGAAACACGATCGGCTATTCGGGAGCTGAGGTATTTGCAAGATGACACTTTTTATACGTATTCCTTGAGGTTAATGTACTGTTTTTCATTTCTTCTAAATCACATTTCAGATTTTCTCCAGAGACATTACACGAAAATTGTAGGATTACTGATCATTTTGTTTGGAAAATATATAAATTTACGATTTACAGCAATATCCGCGATGTATGTACATATATACATATATTTAAATATTTATATACTACTTTGTATTATGTATGCAAACTCTATTGGCTCAACGTATAAATAAAACATTATTAAGAAGAAGATAAATAAATAATAGCGTTTATATTGTATATATATTTGCCTTAATTTCGCTTCAAATTAATATTTATTACTTATTGCTTCGATTTATTACTTAGATAGTTAAATAAATAAAGTTATGAGAGTTATTTTTTCTTCAGTAAATAATAAACTTATGTAGAGGCTCCTTAATATCGCCACTGAAAATCCGGCACTCTACAAATCAACTATCTTAAGCGGGATGTTACGAGGACGGGACGTCCTCGACGCTAATTGCCGTTTATCCGACTCTCGTCGCACGTTGTTTAGCATCAATTCCAGTTAGGGATGGTTGCGAATTTCGAAGTCGACGAGAGCGATTACTTCGATCGTTATTCATTGTTACCTCCCATCGTTCAACACGCGTCCCCTATCTCTGATATGTACTTCGGAAGCTACCCGCATAGAAATCTTCCCAGATTTTTCCAAGAACGACGTAGATTCCGATTAAAATACCCAAAGTTGCCACAAAATAAATTATTCCACTATTATTACCAATTGGGAGTCCCATTCTTATCTCGAACTTGGGATGAAATCTTTTATCACGATGCTGATTGGTTGTGCGTTGCCGCTTGCTTAATCGCGTTCGTAGTATATATATGTATATGTGTGTGAGTGTAAAAAAATGTTATATGAGAACCTTTGCCATAGGAAATTTTTTAAATTTCTGTTTATGTTCTTAATAGCTGTTAATTTATTAAACTTTTATCGTAAGCATTTCCCTTCATCACGGATAGTTTCAAAGTCACACGCGACAAAGTGGAAACGCCTTTTCGACTTTACGGTCGGAAATCACACCTTTAAAGGGCGAACGGGTACGAACTACGTATATCGTTATTCATGTGTTGAGTCGATATATTCACGAAAATCCAAATCGAAGAGTTTCGGGTGTTCTCTTGTTAAAGAGAGGAAGAATCGTATGTTTGGAACATTATACTTATAACCAAAGAGAGAACCTGCGTGGATCTTTCTACTAAATTCCACAATTATTTTGGCAAATCAGACTGGATCCCAATTAGACCCCAAGAAATTTTCTATGCGGGTACCAGCGTTACACACATGTGAAGCTCCGATCCAGACATGTGACAGCGATCCCATTCTATCAGGGAGGAAAATAATTTGCCGGCACAGCAAATTTTCACGCCGGCCGTAGCAACGAAATCTGTCATTTACCGCATGGAGCAGCGAATCGATACGTTAAAAGTACAGATTGCCACTTGCCGAATTATTCCGCTGAATCTCTAAATTATCTCGCTGTGAAAACAAATGAATAAGTGTAAAAGAACCCTATTTTGTTCTAACAGCAAATTAACGTAGCCCTGAGAACAGATTTACTCAGCGAACTATTTCTCCATCCTGGTAAGAAAACTCCGCTCTAATTAGGAATAATTCGCCAATTCACGCGAAACGAAACGAACATCGGTTTTGCAAGGAATAACAGACGATAGCGATCCCGAGGAAGGACAAGTGGAGGAGTCACCGCGTACCTGATGTAAACCGCGACGATGAACTGGGACGAGCGCTCCTGCCGCTGGTCCGCCGCCTTGTCGGAGTGCAGGAAGGCCGGAACGTACAGCCTGGACCTCGGATAGAGCGGGCCGTGCGGCACTAACAGCGTCAGCCGGTCGTCCGCCCTCAGCTCCTTGTAATCCGCTTTGTTCGGCGCCAACGGCACTTGACCCAAGGGAGTGACCGGCTGAATCTGCACCCTGGGTCGGCAGAAGCCCGAGCCGTCGGCAGCTGAGCCGCCGCCACCGGCGCCAAGGCCGGCCCCCTCCTCCATACGCGGTTCCAGCACGGAGTAAGCGACCTGGATCAATCGCGGCAGACTCTTGGGGACCTTGACGCGGCCGGAGGAGTCGGGTGGCGGCAACGGAACCCACCAATTGGCCGGTATAGTGATCTGCGCGAGGCACACGCCGTTCTCGCCGTCGGGGCTGCACGCCGCCGTCAACGTGGAAGAGGAGGAGGAGGAGGAAGAGTAACCGCCGCGGCCGTTGCTCCGGCTGGCGAGGTTGTTGTTCCTCAACGGAGTCGCCAAGCTGGCGTGCAGCACCACGCAGACCCGCTGGTGCCGCGTTAACAGCAGCTGACGTCTACCACCGGCCTCGCTGCCCGCGTGGAAGAGCACCCTGAGCACCGGGGAGTCGCGCGGCACGCTGTTGCCCACGAGGTGGGCCGACATGTCGAGGTGCCGGGCGCCGAGCTCCTGCGCGTCGAGGATCGTCGCGGCGGTGAGGTTGCGCCGCGTCTCCGGCCCGGGGAGCGCGTCCAGGGGGTCGGGGACTATGTAGCGCGCCGGCACCGTCTGCTTCGTGCTGAAGGGCCCGTACGTAGCCCTCACCGACACCGGCTCGCTCGTCTGGAAGACGGTGAACTTGTCGATCGAGAGGACCGAGCCGGGCGGCGGCGACGGCGCCGTGCCCGGGCCATTGTTGCTGTTGTTGTTGGTGTTCGACGACGTCGAGGTCGCCGGCACCGAGTCCGTGCGAGCTGGGTAGTACTGGCGCGGCAAGTGCTTCAGGAAGAAACCGCCGTCCTTGTTCTCGAAGTGAACCTCCACCGACGCCGCCACGTCTGCAAGCAGAAGAGAGGGTGGCCTCGGTTAATGGCTGCTGACGACACTCGTCGTTAGCGTTTCTCTTTCTTTCTTTTTTTCTTTCTCAGCGAGTAAAAGTACTCCCTCTTGGGGAATCGCCTTGGTAGAAATAGCCGAACCTCGTGGGTGTTTAGCCGCAGCTAGTACATTCGTGTCCAACGTCGCTATTAGCTAATGATGTTACTGTCAGACTGAATAGTTACATTTCTATAGAAATGTATAAAAATATAAAAGAAAAAAAAACAATAAAATAAAAAGAAATAATAAAATTTGGTTCTTCTATATCGTCTAATCGACTATTTTAGTAACGATTCTCTAGTAAAAAGTCTAACTTATTTAACATTTTTAAGTAAAAATATTATCTTAATCATGATATCGGTATAGTCAAATTCGATTCAAATTTCATCGTATTTGTTATTACAATATTTTCTCCGTGTATCCAAACGAATCCAATCGAACGCCATTTTCACACAAACTGTTAGACTCGATAGAACGAAGAATGAAAATTAGAAACATAAATACTATCCAAAACGCTTCGATGATTTACACACTTTTCTATTTTCATAGAGGAAAGGTGCAAAGACTCGCCGTGTTTCACACATAAAATAAAACATAAAACTAGGAAAAAGTAAAGTGGAAACTGGGAAAATCCTCGAGGAAACGGCTGATGAGAACAAATGGGGCCTGCTTGCTGGTCTCCCACGCGGAATCGCGTGTTCGAAGCATCACGGGCCGAATCAGCGCGGACCCCCTCCCGACCGGAGTCCATAATTTCGTTCCGGGGAATCGGATCCCCAATTAGATCGTGACATTTTCCACGCGGCATGTCCTCTGCAAGATCGTCGACAAGAGGAAGACGGGAAAAGTGTAAGATTAATAAAGCGTCTCAAAGCGGAACGTTGTAATATTGATCAGCGCCGTGTCGTCGTGCAGGTGCTGTCAGAATTTCACGAGCTCTCCCAGACGTCCCCAGACGGTCGCGACTGTCACGTAGCGGCGGTCAATTCCGGGAGCTAGTTTGGAACTACCGTTTTAATAAATCTTGTTTATCGTTTCCGCGACATTTTATTGGTTCCATGAGTACAACACTCCTCCGGCATCCATTGTCCCTCCTGCCCCTCCGCGTTCGCCTTCCTCCACCGCCTGTTTACCATTCCCTTAATCCCGCGAGAGTGGCTCGCGCGCGTGTTCCGCCTTCTTAAATATTCCAACGTCGCGCCGCCGCCTTGGCCTTCACCGACCGTTGTCGTCGGCAGCGCGAGCCTAATAAATCACCGGCGCTCAACGGCGAACTCGACAATTTTTCCTATCGCGTCGATGGTACACGCGACGCTGCGAAGAATGGAGTCGCCGTGGAAGTTGGAAGCGGCGCGCTTACGCGCATCCGAAAGTTGGCGCAGGTGAGTGGAGAAGTTGTAAATCGGCGGGCGGCGGGAGAGGGCAAAGGAAGGGGGGAATGGCGGCTGCGCTCCATCCGAACATAAATTTCCGAGCAAATCCCGGAGTAAGCGCCAGCTGCCCGCACGGTCTCGCGTAAAATGGAGGAAAGCCTTGGAAAAGCGAGAAGAGAGGGCGAGGAGAAGCGAACCCGATTCGACCCCTCGTCGCTTATCTCCCGCCTCTGCCTGTGGACCACCCTTCTCCCTTCTTCTCTGTCTCTTTCTTTCTCGTCCCTTCCAACCTGGCTTCTATTTCAGCTTCTGTTTTTCTGATCCGATAACAGGCGATTACGGTGAAATGATTTAGCCGGGTCTCCGCGCCGAAAATTATCGTCGCGTTACGCGCGGCAGATGATAAGTGAATGAGAGCGGCAGCGACCTGAACCGCCTCGGTTCTCCGAGAGCGCGACACGTGTCGTGTTAATTTTCACTCGCATGGAGGAGCTTTCAGGCGGCGCTCGCGCAAATATGCCCGTGGATGCGTGTTAATTATTACGCGGGGGAAAATTGGGGCCGACGATCGCGATCCGTTCCCGAAAAATCTCGCGAAACGGCGAAAACGCGATATTTTATTACCGTTTCAACTTCAGCCCTCTCTCTCTCTCTCTCTCTCTCTCTTTCCCGTTACGCGCGATACTTTACATTTTCGCCGTTCCGATGCATGGAAATAAAAAAAAGCCGGCTTTTACGGCCGGCGGTTGATTGGCGCGTTTAATGGCCGCGACCGCCGCGCAATTTCCACTTTCGCGGATCGTTCGCTCTGTATTCCCGCGTCCTTCTATGTGCGCGTTACGCGCGGATATTTCACGCGTGCGGCTCTCGCGCAGAAAGCGAGGCGGCGGAGACGGTCCGGAGATCCGGAGATCCGCGCGAATGAAAGGAGAAAGAAAATAAAACGGAACGAAACAGCGGGGATGAAGTGCGGTTTTATTGGCGTTTATTTAACTATGATGACAGACGGTAGGTAGGTAGGTAGGTAGGCAGGTAGGCAGGCTGCGAGTTTACGTAGCCTCTACGCGTATCGTGACGTTTCCTCCGATTGCCTTCCCCGCGAAATAGACTCCCACGGGCCCGCGAATGGAGTGACGGCGGCGTCCGCGGAATCGAGCGATCGAATGTGACGGCCGGCCGCTGTCATCTGGTGGTCCTTTTGGAAATACGCGGGCACGTCGAACCACTGATACATCTTCGGTTGGCTCTCGTCCAGCTCGTACTCCAAACAGCGTCTAGGAATGCTGCCAAGGGGTCGTTAGCACGTTGTCCTCCGAACGATAACCCGCGAGTTTTTCCAAATCATATTCCATTACAAGCCTGTGATTTTTCATGGATTTTCATTTCGCCCGCGTCGGGCAAGGAAGAAGCTTCGCACATGACGATGCATAGCCCGAGTTGAAGTGTTAGTTCTTTACGTTAAGTCCACTTAGTTTCACATTAAGTCTTCATTAGGTCTTCTATTGTGCCCCCTTTGACGCTGTAAACGGGAAGTTAGCTCCGTCCTTTCCNATAAAAACCCCCCCCCCCCCCGGGGGGGTTCTAAATTCCCTTTGCAGCATATCAAGGGATTATTGGTGCACTTTTAATATTAGAAATGGGATGGTTATTTCTGTTTTCTTGACACATGAACAATTAATGTAGGACTAAGGTTACTTCCCGGCGAGAGACACAAGCCGATACAAGTTTGGTTATATTATCTGTTTTCTTTCAAATGCGAAATTAGGACAAATGACGACACAACTAGACTTGTGTTGACTTGCGCCTCTCGCCGGAGAGCAATCTGGACAGACTTACACACATATCTCTCTCTCTCATATTATTCAATCGCGCTTTCCCATATATTTTTATATCCTCTCGCATATTCACTTAAACACGCTTGCTTCCACATTAAAAACGTCAAGAATTTACCGACACTTTTAGTTCCGCTCAGATGAGGATGCTTTCCCGTCGAAGTTCGCTCTGTCGCTTTAGCATTCTCCCGAGCCTTCAAAGGTCTGCTATTGTGCTCCTTTGAAGCTACAAATGAGAAGTTATTTCCGCTCCCTCCTCTTGAAGACTTAACGTGGAACTAAGTGGACTTAATGCAGGATCGAAATTTCGACTCTCGTGGAAACAAAGGTGTAAACGGTGCTCTCGGGTATCGGCGACGATTTCCTTGAGACGGAGGAAGACATCATGTCGCAAGTTTGAGCTTGCGGGCTACACTTCACATCGAACGCACGTAACGCGATATCGCTGCGTGACAGACTTTACGCGCGTTTAATTCGGTGAATAATGAATGGTCGTCGTGTATGCGCTCGCGTGTGCTCGTCTGTGTGTGCACGTGTGTGTTAAAGCGGTCGGTCGTTCTTCGTTGTCGGTGGCAAAGCGCTTTTAAGGCCCGAGCCCGCAGCCGACAATGACACCGTTCCCTCGAAATTAACTCCAGAGTCTACAGACAGCCCGGGTACACGTATTTCCTCTTTGCGCGGAAAACATATCCTTCCGGTGTGATAACAGCTGCTGTGCGATAATGTTGGATAATTTCGGAAGCGGCGCCAAGTAGCGGCGATAACTCAGACATTCTGACGGCGCGGCTTTAAGAGGGACAATTGCGCGATCCAAGGCGGGAACGAAGGGCAGTGAGGAGTCTCAATCGGAATCCGCAGTGGTCGGGAAGGAAAGGGGTACGAAAAAGAGACGCTCAGGTCGATCCATCGAAAAATACGGACGCGGTTACCGCGACTGCTTGTAAGTTTGGCCGCTACGTGAGACAGCGTGATTCGTGACTCGGCGTGAAATTGAAGCAATTTGTGTGCATATATATATGTATATATATACATGTATGTATAAAATAGGATTGCGATGGATCGATGAATCTCTCTCGAGTGCCTGACCCATTTGAAAGTCGAGCACTACTGTTATCCACCATCACCAACCACCACCATCACCACCGTCACCGCCACCACCATCACCGCGCGCCTTCGCACTGGCAAAGCTCTAATACGCTTACGACTCACAGTGAATGCCGTTTGCAGCCAACGATGGGATAGTCTTCGCGGAAGCACTTCGTGTTTAACACGCTGAAGTAGAGGAAGCCGACCTTCGCGCTAACGAGTTCCTCAGAGCTGTGGAGACAGTCGTAGAACCTCTCGTCGCACGAACAGTGTAGCCTGATTTCGCACATTTCACGACACTCTATCAGATTACCGTTCACAAAAAGCGACCACGCCTCATTATAATTTCAAATTACTCGCACAATCGCGGAAACGCGCACGGTAGAGACAAAGAGAATGACAGAAAGAAAACGAGAAACAAAAAAAGGAGAGAGAGAGCAAGTTGAGAAGAAAATGAACGATAGACCGACGACGCGTCCGAACGTATGTACGTACGTACGACCGAAGATCGCGGGGATAAAGCGAATAAAGCACACTTTAAGAATCGAGTGCTTCCCACGTGAAGCCGATTTCACGTGTAACGAACTACTCGGTCTATTCTCGCGCGCGCCGAACCGTCCGTTTTATTTCCAATTCCGTAGCACCGGCGGAAATTCAGCGCGTTAAGTG